GGGGGAGGAGTGAAGGCCTGGGAGATGGGCATTTTGCCCTCTTCCATGTTCTTGAAGTACGCCTGCCATGAGATGTGAACACTCGATGGGTCGTTCTTCCATGCCAAGTACATCTCATCGATGTAATTGGCAGTGCTACCAGTAAGGAAAGAATCGTTGGGGTCCTATTCACGTAAGAGCGATCGCGCCGTCGCATTAGTCGAATGCCCGTTGATATATTTGAACTACCGGGGAACCGGATCGGATTGACACCGATCATGAAGATTGTTGTTGCTTACCACTCCTTGACTAGGTCCCTCCGAGGAGGCCGCATAGGACCGGGAACCGTTGAAAGCACGGTCGACAACAGCCATAGGCCGACGGGCGGCCAGGCTGAAGCCGGAGCTTTTTGACGTATTGCGAGCAGCTGTGGCGAGGTGGAATGAACGCCGGCATGATGAAGAGGTCGCACCACGCAGCATGCCGCTGTTGGTGGCCTTCAAAGCACTGTTTCTAAACATTGCGGGATTTTCTTGGATCAAGGTCCAATAAAGTATTTCGAATTTAGAGGAGAGGAGAGGGGAATTGGGAAGACACTAGTTCGTGGTTCTGACCAAAGAGACGTTTCAGAGTCAGGTTCACTGTATGCTATCGTGTCAGCCTCAAATTGCCAGGTTGTCCTGTAGTGCGAGCAAGCCGGAATACGGAGGAAAGGAAGGGACGTAAGTATACGTACGAATTAAATCACAAATCAGGTGTCGACTAGTATTGCCGTAGCACCTGTATGGACGCGGGACTCATCAGAGAGCTACAACGCTCTAGATAAGAAAAGAAAGTTAGGGGAAGTGGTAGAAGAAAGATGAAGCGAGAGAAGAGCGCAAAAGGATGAGCTGCCGAGAATGACGGGTGTGACGGCAGCTGAAGCTGGTGTGCTGAGTCAGCCCGAGTTACAGCCGATGCAGGAGCCACCTATCTAGCCCTTTCGACCCTTTCGACCACTTTCATACGCAGAACCTCGGGAGAGCCCCGAAGATGCCCACTGCTTTCCGTAGCCGGCTAAAGCTTTTGGGCTGTTGTCCGGGAATTTTCGGCCCAATGGCACTGGAAGTGATTGCGATTACATACATCTCCCTGGCTTCCCGGATTTCCCTGCTTTTCCAGTGCCAAGTCTTTTTCTGGCTGTGAGATCTGGTTGGGATCGGAATTCAAGCTTTGTTTCTATCAGATTGCGATCGCTATTAAAATTAACGTATAAACCGACAGTCGATAATTCATGAAATCGTCACACCGCACAATGGCCATATGCAGAGAAATAATAGATCGTTAGAGCCAGATTTACGGATGTCAGGCACCATATTACAAGACATTGAGTCGCTGAGGTCCACTGTTGGGAACTTCTTCATAATCTGGACGCCCGGACAACGGCGAAGTAGTACGTGGGTGGCTGTCGTCATGGAAATAACCGACACCATTGGAACCCCCCTCATCGGGGCTGAAAGGCCTCGTTTCAGAGACGGTTGGACTTGCTTCGGCACCGTTGAGGCTGGCGCGGTGAGAGGGCGACAGCGGATGTGGTGGGGGACTACCTGCACTGCTGCGTAGGCTACTGTTGCTCCCGCCCCAGGCCCCACGGCGTAGCTTCATGAGCGCGCCCAGGGTCATCTCATCGTCGAGACTGCCCATGTCAACCAGCTGCGCCAGTCCGGGGCTCGCTAGAGCTGAATTTGGATGGGTACCGCCGTGGGCCTTGATGGAAATCATAGAGTTCCGTGTGCTCCATTCGCTCCGTTCAGTGATAGGGGTCAAACTGGGTTCTTGGAATTTCCCGCGGCTGCTGTGGTTCCGTGTGATGCCTTCGACCCGTCGCGGACCGAAGTATCCACCGTTGGTTAGCTCAGAGGCGCCGGTGCCATCTGCGTGTGCGTAGAAGCCGAACTCTTGACCGTAGAAGCCATCGTCGTCGTTCTCAAGAGCTTCGGCGTTAGCAGCAGCAACGATGGCATCGTCAAAATACGAATCATCGTCATCGTCGTAGAACTGATCATCGTAGACCTGATCATAGACGTTTTCAAAGGCCATGGCATCCGCAGGTTGCCCGACCCGGCTGTCATCAGAAATCAGACCCGGTTGCGAGTCTATTGTCGGCGATATTTGACCTGTGCTGTCTTGTCCCTCGGATCCTTCGCTCGTGCCGAACTGGCGCTCAATCCGGCTACTATATGATGCTTCATTGGCTGCGAAGGCTAGAGCATTGTGCAAAATATCTAGATTTTGCTCTGTGAGCACACCTCCACCATGGGCACGAACAGGACCCATATTTGGTATCGGCTCGCCGAGAGGACCACGCTTGATTGATCCTGTGACCCGGTAGTCACTAGCCACACTAGGCATGTGCCGCAGAGTTTGGTCTCCCATTTCTGCCATGGGACTTTCTTTCCCTGAAGAGTCGTCCCCATCAGGGCCGTCAGGGCCGTCAGGGGCGTCAGGGACCGCACTGTCCGTTGGTATAGGTGCTGCTGGGGCAGCGACCGGTTTTCTTTCGTATAAATGACTGGTTACGTCATCGAATATCGATTCGTCAAATCCACTATCTTGGTTATCGGCAGCAAGATCTCCGAAATCGCCGTCATCAAAATAAAGATCATCATCATCGTCGAGAATTGGAGCCGCTTGTTTCGCAACCGGAACCTCGGGAAGACTTGATGTCGCATCAGTTCTGGCAGCTAGGGACGGCTGTTCCTCTGGTAGATGTTGCTGGGGGGCATGGTCTAATTGTGTGGCCTCGGATAGACGAGAGGCAGAGTAGGATGGGTTTTGGTTTGGGTATGGCAGTGCAGCAGTGAGCGGGCTAGCAACAGTAAGCGGGCTAGCAACAATGGGTGACAACCCCGGGACAACCCAGGACTTGGCCTTGTTGATATCTCGCGGAATTGAGAAATCATCGAAATCGTCATCATCGGCATCTGCATTGACGCCAGGAATCTTTTCTTCCAGACCATCCAGGTCATCCAGCATGTCATCATCGAAGTCCTCGTCGAAGTCATCGAAATACCCATCCTCTATTTTGCGGGAGGCTTCCTTGGCCTTGTGCTTCTCTTCTAGCATTCTCTCTTGTGTAGATGATTCCACTCCGATCATATCGAAGCTGAATCGGGACGCATTGCTCTTGAGATGTCTCGGCAAGGCCGAGGGGTTGAAGGGTACATTAGGAATAGTATCTTGGTCTTGAGGGTGCTGAGGATGAGCATGGGAGATTGTTGTGGGTGATATTGGAGGTTCCTCCGCCTCATGCTCACGCTGCTCCGAACCATCTATAGTTCTGTCTGGTAGATGCGAAGGCAAGTTCCGCGCAAAGACCGGCAATGAGCTATCATAATCAGGCTGCGATTGGCCTGTTAAAAGTGAAGACTGAAGATACCCCTTATTTTCCACCTGTAGAGCATTCTGGTCCTCGAAATGTTCCTTAAAAACAGGCGAGTGATCGCTGTGTCGTTTCGCCTGGTCATTCCAACTGGCGCCACGGGGTTGACTGGGTATTTGCGGTGGTGAAGTATCCGGCCCATTCAGTGTATCCTGCTGGGGAGCCGAAAGGTTGCGGCGAGGCCGAGGCGCCGAAAAATCATGGACGATCTTTCCACGAATTCTGGGATCATAGTCATCCGGCATAGGAGGAACATTGCGGTTCTTGATTTTGAGGTCTTCAGCGCGGGAGCTAACGACCTGCGAGGAGCGCCTGCGCGCAAGAAGAGACATCGGATTCAGGAGATGGAGCATCGCCTTGCCGGACTTATGATGTGTCTGTTCTACAGACACTTCACGATCCCCAGTGCGCCGGACAGTCGTGCTACCCTCCATCTTGAAATCCCTCTGTAGTATTGTTTGTTTATCCGCCGGTGAAGCGTCCGGCGAGGTTCTGAACCGGAAATGGCCCGACGCCGTTGGCGCAGTCGGCGACCGTTTCTGCTTGCCGAACGAACGTCGGAAAGGCGAGCTTGATTTGGAATTCGGCTCTGCGTCTCCTTGATCGGATCGTAGACCTGTCACGGACAGTTGTGAATTATTCGACTGGGCTGTAAATTTTTCTTCCTCGTTATCGGGGCTGGAGGGAGGACGACACTCTTTTTCAAATGCCGGCGATGGAAGAGCAAGAGTAATGGAGGAGGAGGATATCGGCGCGACGGATGAGCTGATGTTCAGCTTGGAGGTATCTATATCCAGCGGCGCCTCGTTCGAAGAGGGGCCATCGGGTGAGGGGTGACCGTCGAGGGCAGTGGTGAGCGTCGGTGTATCCGGAATCTGTGGAAGTTGGGGAGGGCTTTTAATGGGGCTTCCATTCGCTCCCTTGACAGGTGAGGGCGCGGGGATCGAAGCAGGCGACGCGGACGAACGTCGATGGTCTCGGCGCCAGTACGAAAAGACAGTAGATGGCGGCATGGCAGTTCCTTGAGGCCCTCACGACGCCAGGTTGAGTCGCGCGTATGCTCAAGCGGCGTAATAGTCCATTACAGTTATCAACTGCATATGCTAGGTGAACAAATACGCTGTCATATACAGACAACTGGACCGTGGGGAGATGCAAAACCCACCCGTGGGATTCCAAGGTTCGTAACCCTCAAGCTTTTGTAAGCCTATTAAACTCGATTGCACGCAAAGAAGGGGTAATCCATAGCAAATTGCAGTAAACATCTCGATTTTTACGTTTATTTATACAAAAGACAAAGATCAAAGTAACGCGCGGCTAAAAGTGAGGTTACACCCATCCTGCTGCAGTGTCTGGGCCTTTCTACAATATCGCGTCACATTCTTGCCCCTACTGTCGTCTTCAATGTTGACTTTTTGCTGAGCTGGGCTCATATGGTTAAATTCCCCGAAATGTATGCAGTTATTCCCCTGTAAATCGTACAGCTAGGCTCCGTAGATATCCTTCGAGAAAAAGAAATAAATAAAAGAATGACACGCTCAAACAGCCATATGCTATGCTAACGGACAAAACATAAAGCAAAAATTAAGTGATAACGCTTTCAACGAATGCTTTGCCTCCAGCGATCGATCACCTCAGTCTTGACCGGGCCAGGGGGTACCATGTTTGGAGCATACCCCACGCCATTCATGCCCATCATCGCAGGGTTAATAGGATACCCATATTGTTGTGCCATCGGGTATCCTACAGGTGGCGGATATCGCATTTGTGTCGGAAACTGTTGCATGGACATGCGATTCCCAAACTGGGACATGGTGACAGGCCGCTGATTGAAAACATCATACGACGACTGACGAGCAAGGTGGGAGGGACGACCCTGTGTAAGCGCGGCCATGCTCCGGCGCATTCGCGGGTTCTTTGGAGCCGCTGGAGCAGCAGCGGCCTCTTTTTCTAAGGCGACTGCGTCGTTGTGCGAGTGTCTCTTCCTCGATGGGAACGGGGACTTCTTCGGGCTCTTTAGGCGCAACTCCAGCCCGGGTGTCAATTTCGGCCATCAAGTCGCTGGCGAACTTACTCTCCGAGCGCTTATGTCCCTTCAACCGTTGAACTCGCTCGGCGAGGGTCTCTACTTCTGTCTCATCCTCGCTCTCGGCGGCCGGCTCAGGGACATGCGCCGGGGGCTCTGCATACATTGTAACAGGACGTTGCTCCGGCCGCGGGATTGGTTCACCCCGCAACCTGGCACGGCGTGAACTCAGAGGCTCATTTTCTTCTTGGTGCCGCATCGCTAGCAGTCCCAAAGGTCGATCTTCTTCGATGTTGGTTTTCTCGGGGTACAGCATAGCCAGGGGAACATCATCGTCATCATCCCGTCCTTCCCAGGCCAAAGCGACAGGACGTTGCCGCCGGTTATCACTTTGCTTTTGAACCATATCGTCCATTTCTAATAAAGTGGACCGCATACCACGGAAAGGCACCGGCACAATTGTCCGCCGTCGATGCTTCAACTCATGTTTCCGCAATTCCAATTCGGCGATGAGCGTATTCGGTGGACCAACATAATCCATAATATCCGCGTCGTCAGACCCCTCGTCTTCAGATTCCTCACTTTCGCCATCAGTGCCTTCCGGCCCACGCTCATGGCCGTGCTCATCATCATTTCTATCTGAGTCGTCCGAGCCATGTCGCAAAGTGGCGGGGACCTCATCTTCTTCTACATTATTAGTGTTATAAGACTGGCCAAAGATGGCCCGCGAAAGACGGTTTGTCTTGTGCACTGTCGGGTCTTTTGTCAGGGTCTTGCGTTTTGACGTGTTGTAGATGAACGCGCCGACTTGACCAGCATATGGGTGATCGGTGAAAGCCGAAACGGGTGCATTCGCAGAGGCGTCCAAAATACTCTCCAGCGTAGCAACCGCGGACTGTTGTTTGACCTCGACCTGGAGTGATGTACTCGGCTGATCAAAAAATACACTGGCACGGAGATGTGGTGGCACTGTCGATTTACGTTTATCGTTATGGCTATCGCGTGAGTCTCCTAGGACGGCGTCGGGTAGCCCAACAGTTGACTTTCTATCCTGAGCGGCGATGGCGCCTGCGATTTGTGTACGACGCTTATCCCGGTCGATATTTTCCCTGCGTGACAACTTCGGTGGGAGATTCAACATGCGTGGGACAGGCGCGGGATAAAACACCATATTCTCCCCTGCTCGCGGGTTCTTATAATGGTCTGGGTTGCGGGCGAGCGGCGGCTGCTCCAGAGAAACCTGGCGACCTGGTTCCAAGGGTGTGAAATGGACGCCATCAAAGTCGGTGAACAGTGTCCGCGCCTGCTGGTAGGTATCGAATGATGCGACCGAGGCCCGGCGCTGCAACTCCGGCTCTGCGGGAACTCCTTGTGGGACATATTGGTCGTAATAGTAATCGCTCTGGGTATTGAAGAGGGGCTGTGCCGGTGGGAGATCAGGGAGCCCAGGGAATTCATCCACTTCAGGCTCCTCTTCATGTGCAGGCTCCGCAAGCTGAGCTAGACGCGCCCCCGATACGGAGCGCTGACGCCCGGGCGACGCAATTGATCCATGGGCGGAGGAAATTGTGGCTACCGGGGAGAATGCACCAGTCCGGTGGATTGAATTGGACGCGGAACTGACTGAGCGGCGCTTTTGCTCTTGATCCATGCGACGGATCTCGCTCTCAATGTCCGCGGAGGACGAGCTCAGCTGCTCCGCGCTTTGCTCCAACCGCGTGACATTTCCTTTGTAGGCTCCTTGTATCGACTGCAAATCCGGGGTAGGGTGGCTGAGAGGTACGGGAACCTCACTGCATGCGCTGTGAATGGGGCGCTCCGGAGAAGGATTTCGCGCGGTCGTATTGAGTGGTGGGATACGGAGGCTGTTGGCTCGCTCCTCGGGGGAAGGATCGGCGTCATAGTCATCATCTTCTACTACATCGTAGCTGGCAGCAGTCATGGAGCGGATCATCGAACCTAATCGACTGAAAGTCGGGTTCTCTGTAGTTTTGGCAGTTTCTAGATGGCTTCCGCCCCCGATATGATCAGTATCGAGCGGCAGCTGCTCAAAGGCATGTTTGTGAGTGGGCGAGGGACAGGGCGAAGCGGAAGCGGAAGAGACAGAAGCCACCTCGTGGTCGAGCTGAGCGATGGCGTTGTACGCCATAATATAGGTCTTAGTCACCGACTACCCATCCATTCAGATCGATTCAAATTAAAGAAGGTTTCAGGATCAAAGGAACTCGGAATACCAGGGATACCAGACAAAGAAACGAAGCCAGAAGAGATGTAGGGAAAGAAACGAAAAACCAGGAAATTGGGCTGGGGAATAGCGGCTAATTTTGGAAGTTTGCTGTCGTACAATAATTTGCCCTGGAATGCCAACTGAACTAGTAACTCCATGCTAATAATATATCGATGCAATTTCCTCCTAAAAGTCCCCAAAAGCAAGGAATCCAAAGCCACTAAGGGGCCTCTGTGTCCGTGTCTTAGACCAGTCAACACGTTCTGCGCGCCGAGTCAGGCGGATTCGACTCTCCACTCTGCTCTAGAGGTCTTGGCGTTTCCCTATATCTATATAAGGAGTCCGGAATACTCGGTATAAGAAGTATAAGGAGTGTCTCAGGCAACCCCTTAACCCCCCGCCATTCCTCTGCTTCGCTGCCTTTCTGCAGGCTTCCCGGGAACATGCATCAAAAGGAAACCCAAGAAGGCAATCCCGAGGTGTATCTGCATCTGAGCTAGAGGACTTGACAACCCCGGACCAATCAGACCATCAACAGATATCGCGGCCTCAACTTTTTTCCATGAGTTAAATTGCGAGTTAAATTGCTTTCGAGGTTTACCTTGCTAGATCTGACCAGTGAGAATACATCGATTAGGGTTGGAGACTCGGGTCGCGTGACCTGTCAAGTTCAATGGCTCCAATCCAACTGGCACCGGTCACGTGCTGATATCGTTGTCTTATCGCATACCTTCCTATCCTGTCATCCCTCATGAGGTCTGCATCTTTTCCCGCCAACTACTCACCATGCCAAGCAGGGACAGGAGCAGGTGGCGCAATGTCCATTTCTACAACGCATCCAATGACCTCCTAGGAGGTTTCTTCCAAGCTGGTTCCGTAACGGACGCTAACCTGATCTGGATTCTCCGCAACGTGTTGCTAGTTCAGGCGGAGAATCTTACGATAAAGCATCGAGCATCCGATCGAATTATCACACCATCAAATAGTGCCGTTGTCCCTGGCGACTATGTCATCTCCTGTGATGGTAAGACTTCACGTATAACTAGCATACGGTTATATTTACTCACCGTTCGACTAGGAACTGTTAGGGTAACAGACGAAGCGTGGTTTGCTCGCGTGATCAGCTTTTCTGAATCGAGTCGAGAAGATTCATTTCGTACTGGGGTCCGTCAGAGAGACGGGAGATGTGTTATTTCTGGCGATATCAACCTTCTTGCGCCTTGGGATATATGGGATGGTTTACAAGCTGCCCATATATTCCCCCTGGAGAAAACTCAGCATAACTTCGGGTGCTGGATAACGAATATAGACCGTACAACAGGAGTTTTAAAGAACTCTATTCAGAACGGTTTGCTTATAAGTGCGACGCTACACGGTTGTTTTGATCAGTATATGTTCTCTATTAACCCCGATGTATGTATCCTAAGGACCAAGTTCCCACGCAGAGATACTAATAAGAGATAGGACGGATATAAGATTGTCTCGTTTGTACCAGACTCCTATAGAATTGATGGAAAAGTCCTTGACCCGATCTGCCGGGACCCAAACGACCCAGACCATGTCGCGGACGAGCTCCTAAGATGGCACTTTCGGCAAAGCGTGCTCGCTAATATGCGAGGGGCCGGGGAGCCGATATTCGAGTCGGACTTTCCCCCTGGGACAGACCAAATAGCGACGCTACAAGACGAACCATATGGCAGGGAGAGATTTGAGATGGAGGTCGAACTCAGACTCGGACCTAGAGCCAGAGAAGAAGAGGTCGACATATTAATAGGGAATAGGGACAGAAACAATTACTAGACTCGACCGGGATGTCAAGCACAATGAGGAAGTTTTGTATTACTACCCTGAAATAGTGCTAATTCAGGATATTATTAGTGCTCTCTTCAAGTCTTCAAGTCCCACTAGGTGAGGGTTCAACGATAATGTTGTGGTCTACTACTCCTAGTGAACAACTTTGCTTTCACCCTGTTTTGTAGGCAGGCCGTGTCGGTACCCCTGCTGCATCCGTTGCAGCATATAAAATTACTCTTTCTTCTTTTCCCTGGCCTCCATCAGTCCATGGGCCTTTGCAAAGAATAAAAAGTTCTCTCTTCCCTTTTCTTCTAGTGGGGGCAGTCGAATGTGGAGAATTGAAATATGTTCGAGCTCTTGGTACCCGAAGGATAGAACATCTATTCTAGGAGAAGTCACTCCTACTATATCGTGTTCATCCCGGCTTTCTGCCAAGCAATCTCGTGTTTTCATCCTCGATTTGCCGTTTTGTTTCGATTCTGCCGATCGCCCATGGGGCTCGTATACATGTGGCTCGTATAGCACGAGGCCAAGGTGAAGAAACGGGACTATTTTTGGTAACATATCTGGATCTTTCAGACCTCACGTCGTATTCGCCCCGGACTTTTCATACAGGCCATCGTTTTAGCCCCAGAGTACGGTTGATCTTCAGCATCTTCATCGTATTACGAGAAAATGAAACGAAGGCCTAATTTTAGACAAATTCTCCTCGGCGCTCAGTTCCACGTTGATCAGCACCTGGTAAGATCGACGCATCTCAGTCAAGGTATAAGTATCCTAGCCCGGCCTGATGCACAATATTCTGGTTACAAATTCAAAGACATTCAAAGCTTCATCGTCTCTCATATCAATTCAAAGCTCTATCCTCGAACGCATCATTGAAGGAAACGAAGTCCTCAGAAAAACACGCAGGATTTGCCTACTCGCCATCATGCGATTCACGAACTTGGCTCTGACCCTAGCTGCGGCTTTCTCCGTTTCCAATGCGTACGCCATCACTGCCAGTGTTGCCAATTGTCGCACTGGTCCCTCAACGAGCAATGCAGTTGTCACGACATACAAAAAAGGTGCCGATGTCAAGATCACATGCCAGACTTATGGCGAAAACATTCAGGGAAACTCTATCTGGGACAAGACATCTGACGGCTGCTATGTTACCGACTACTATGTGAAGACCGGCTCAAACAGCATGGTCACCAAGGACTGTAGCGGTGGCAGCTCTGGCAGCGGCAGCTCATCCTACAAGGGCAAGATAAGTCGCAAGGAGATCATTTCCCGCGGTCAGTTCTGGGTCTCCCGCCACATCCCATACTCCATGAACGCCGAATACCCGGACCCCCAAGGCCGCAAATACCGCACAGACTGCTCGGGCTTCGTCAGCATGGCTTTCCATGCGTATGCGCCAGGATATAACACCGTGAGCCTCCCGGATATTGCCAAGTCCATCTCGTGGAGCGACCTCCGGCCTGGTGACTTTGTTGGAACCCTAGGCGCTGGTACTGGCGGTGCTGCTGGCCATGTCACTCTGTTCACTTCGTGGGCCGACAGTTCCAAGAAGGAGTACAATACGCTTGAGTGCCGCGGTACGTACGGCTGCGTTGCGTACAGGCGACCTGTTGGTTGGAAGGTTGGCAGTTTCACGGCCAAGCCCTACAGGTACATCCATGTTGTGGACTAAGCTGGAGTTTGTAGCATTTTCGGGTTTTGCGACGGCTGTGGCGGTTGGGTAAGCGGAGGGATATGAATAGCTTCAGATGAATTTGTGAGCAGATCAGATAGGCAGAAAGCGAAGACAAGGTGAACTTGATATACTCCGCTCGACTGGTCGTACTTGCCGTTCTTGCCTAGGAAGGAGAACGTTTCTTCCTATTACGTAGGCGAGTGAAAGCGAGTAAATCCGTATTTGCATTGTTTGATCAAAGACGCACAATTGATTTTTCTTCTTTCTTCTCTTCGTCCTTGTTATTCTCACTTTTTGTTTCGAGATAACCTGGCCCATAACACTGTATGGCAGGACAATGCTACCGTAGAATCTGGACAGGTCCAGACAAAAAGTTGTTAGGAACGTACTCTTCAAAGCAAGAAACATGTTAACGAACGATGACGATTCTTTAATCAAATCTATGCGTCTTCGGCTACGAAGATTTACACCCCTCATGTATTCCGTGGGACTTGTCAAATGGCAATGAGAGCCATGACCTCAGGAACATCCACGAGAACGCCAGGTTTGATGTTTGATGCAGACCTACATGGACCTCATAACAATGGTAATATTATGATCCCTGTGGTAGGTGAAGCAGCATGTGCTACGGGTCCCTCTGCCTACACTGTCTCGTGGGGGCTACGGTGAGATGGTGGTCAGAGAGATGGGGAGGAGAGAAGAAGAGAAGAAGAGAAGAAGAGAAATGGGGGAAGGAGTCCTTTTATACCCCCAACCCACGTGCCTTCCTAACGTGCGCCAGGTCCCTCGTACCTTCCCTGTCAATGTCAATGTCAATGTCACATGCATTGCGCCTTCTTTGTTTGCCTTCTTTGTTTACACGCGGTCCTTCGCAAGACACCACCGTTTCCCAACTTGAATTTCTACTTCCAGTGCTCTGAATGTAGTACTTGATCTCTATTTCATCCACATAACTTGACTCATGGCTTTCATGAACCAGAAATCTTCTAATCATCGTACGATCTCCTAGATCGGCTCATGTCTTCTATGGAGGCACAATGCCAGAATAAAGATATATATCTATGAACTTGGTCAGGCTCGATTATAGAAATGGTCTCTTGGCTCTTTCTGGGGTGCTTCTTCACGGGCTATCCTTCATCATTGCCTGTTAGTTTATCCTCCCATTTCTCTACAATTGGAGCCAGGTAAGAGCCCACGAGCTCATACAGCCCCTTTCAAAACGCAGTATCTAGAAACAAGGTCCCAGGTCAGGTGTCCTACTGGTGGACCGTGCTCAGGTGATTCCCCGGTGCAAACCCTCTGGGATCACAACATACATGTCATATAACCAGAACCCTCCCAACCTTGAATCATGCTGGCTTCTCGAGTATTCACTCGGGGAATCTCCTTGTTTGATTCAATGAAGCCATTCTCTTCAACCACAGTTCTGCCGTCACAGTTTCACTGTCTGTATCTAAATCCTTTTTCTCGGTCTTCTCGTATGGCTACCACTTTGCACCCCCGGGAAGAGCCTCTACCATTGGGCACAGTTCTCAAAAGTGATTCTGGCCAGATATTCAGGATCGAAGAAATCCTTGCTGATCGTAGAAAGCCCCTGTTATGCGTATATCGTGCGCGGTAGGTGCCACTCAAGTAGCCTCCCCTGTGACATCGCTGCTAACTAATCTGATGATGAAAGCACAGATGAACGAAACTTTATTGCAAAAAACATGATACCCGGGGAGTTTGAGTATCAATTGGACTTGTAGAAAAAATTGGCATCCTGTCACAATCTGTGAACGGTAGTCGACACTATCCAGGACCTTGATCTATTTATCTACCCCTTTCTTGCGGGAGATTTGCTTCGTCTAAGCCAGAGATCGCTGAGTCGGGAATCAAGGACTCACATCCTCCGATCAGCTTTACATGGGCTAGCTTATATGCACGACCGTGGAATCATTCACAATGGAAAGCCTAGACACCCTTTGATACTATGTGCCTCGAAATTCTAACTTTTTTATAGATATCAAGCCTGACAATATCTTAGTTGACTATGACGAGGGTACGGAGGGTCAATTAGTAGTCAAAACTGTCCAACTATCAGATCTCGAGGATACGGTCCTTTTGCCACCGGGCAAATGGCTAAGAGGTCCCCTCTGCGGTAATGCTATATGGAGGAGCCCTGAAAGCTGGTGCCGATCTCGTCAGAACCAAGCCTCAGATATCTTTTCTTTTGGGATAGTCGTACGTCTTATCCTTCTTACTAATTCTTAGCCCCTACTAATTACCCTATAACTTTAGATGATATATGTCATGCTCAATGAGATGGTATTTCGCGTAAGCGATTCCCAATTGACTGCAGCGGACTCTTGGTGCTACATTCTCCACAGACACGTATCATATTTTGCCGACGAACAAGGTCTCAATTGTTTCCTGGAGCATATAGGAGAAGACAATCCTTTTCATAAGCGCTTCATCTCCATTGCTAGCAGCTTTACTTCGGATACTCCAAGACAACCTTTCGAGTCTTGGAAGTATGTGGATCAAGACCTTAGAGATCTAGTATGCAAAATGACAAACCTCGACCCCATTAAAAGGATCACCGCAACGCAGGCACTTCAGCACCGCTGGTTCATGTCGAGTTAAGAAAAATCGCAGTGGGACCTGGGATAAGATTGTGTAAGTTTTCAACATTCGGAACTATGGCAAATGTTCCTAATGCTCGTGCTAGTGACACGAAAGTACCAAAAACAACAGCAGTTGAAATACGTCAATCTGGTTGCAGCAACTCTTGGGCAACTTCGGCCGGGATAGCAGCAGTCCAGTTTGTTTCCAATCGTCACAATGTTGCCCAACTTGATGCTAATGACGCCTGGTCTGTTGTATCTGCAGGGGACTCAGCACTAAGGCAAACATCTCATTTTCATTCCAACGCTCCTTGGACGAATAGGGCAGAGGTAGAGGTGCCATCAGTTTAGCACCCGGCGGAAGTGCCAAGGGTCACTAAGAAAACACAACGCATGTCTCCTTCGTTGCCACCTCGAGATCAGCAAGCCAACGGTCAATTATAGTCATGCAAAATATCATCAAGTTGCGTTTAACAGGATAAACAACGATGTGCCCCCTCCTTCTTCGGTCAACTGCATTTCACTATCACCGGAAACAATAACATATTCTCCAGGCCATAATGAGCCTCGGTTTATTTTAGGAAATCCATTATTATGATCCATATATTCCAACCCAACAATCACCAAGTACTTTCCAGGAAATGGTGGGTCAAGCTTCCCTGCCCTTCTTGTCCAAACGACGGGATAGTAATCCACCACGGTGCGCCAAGGGTCGTCGG